ATCTTATCTTAACCGTCTGTTATAGGCTTGACTTAACTTACCATAAAAAAATATACAAGTCTGTACTGTACGTGTATCGTCTACCGTCCGCGAGGTCCACGTTCGATAGCATGCGCGCGCACCCTGAGGCAAAACCTAGTTTATTTTCTTTCCCCCACTTTGACTAATTACTCGCAGGTTATAATAGTATTTGAATCAGAGTTTTTGTTACTTCTTCAAAACTATTCGCTGGTTTTCGTTCTTTGATGCCACTGAATGTCTGAATATTCTTCTGCGAAATTATTATAGTGAGATTAAAGTTTTTGGAATTACATTTCTTAGTAAAGTCTAATGTCACAGTTTCTGATTTGTTAAACTTGTTTCCAAGAAATTGTAAATTAGGTACTTTGATATTTTACACAGTTATAGATCTAAGTTTAAATTATTTTGTTTAAATTATTATTTATTCTGTTTTATTTTATGTAAAACTAGCTATTCCGCAACATATCTCGCATAAATTATAGCTGCATATGATGTAGCTTTCTGTAGGCGAAATAATTTTTGAAATCGTACCAGTAGTTTCTGAGTCTATTCGATGTAACTAAATAAACGTACTAACAGAAAATCAAATTTTTCCATTAGTATAAATCTGTATAACATTAGTATAAATCTTTATAACATTAGTCTTTATAACATTAGTATAAATATGTTATGTTATTATATTTTTAATTTTCAACATTTGGGGGCCTTCTGTGTTAGATATCATGTATAAACAAAATTTAAACAACATGAAGGTTGATAATAATATGCTTTATAATTTTGTTTGCATCCTGCAATATAAGAACATAATTCTCACTGGATGCACAATTTTACTCATTGGACGCACACCTGCTTCTATATGTCATTACTAGTATAAAACAAAGTCGGTTTCTCTGTCCCTATCTCCATATGTATGCTTAAATCTTTAAAACTGCGCAACGGATTTTGATGCGGTTTTTTTCATAGATAGGGTGATTCAAAAGGAAGGTTTTCATGTATAAAACAAGAACACAAAGCTAGTTATTAATAATTAGAATTACATATCGATGCTGGAAAGCAAACACGTAGTAACCTGCAAAACCGAAATGGACATTTGGAGTGGACAATCTTTATATTTTTCCAAAAAAAAAGTCTTATTTCCATATAAATTGACTAAGGGACACCTTATTTGTTACCATGGACGTTTATAGGAATTATTTATCGAAAAGAAATAAAAGATTTTCTGCTCTGAAAAACACTTTTGGCTTTGCGGGTTACTACGTGTTTGCTTTGTAAATTATTTTCACGACAAATCTAAGGATTACAGACACAAGTTAAGAAAAAATAAAAATGGGTCTATCTGAACGCATGAATTTATTATATTTCCTTTTATTAAGACAGAAAAACTACATGTACAAACCAATATAAATTTAATTTTGATCCTATAAAAATTGCGTTTTCTATTCTGCAAATAACTAAGAAAAATAGCCGTTTCAAAAAAATCACGTTTTTAGTATATGATATTATAGCGGCATCAGAAATACATAATCTGCTGGCCCCGGGCTTAGATGACTGGCGCCCTGGGCAAATGGGCTACTGGCGCCCCCTTTATTACTATAATGTAAAAGCAAATAATCTATGTTACTTATATTTTATGAAGGAAATAACAAGAAAACACGTCTTTCATACACAAAACTGTAGACATTTATTTCTACATAATTCACACTTCCAGCAAAGATTACAACTTACAATTATATTTTTAAGGCAACTTGTTTCTCTCATTTATTTTTATTATCTCTATTATTTTGCGCCCCCAAAAATTTGGCGCCCTGGGCAAATACCCAGTCTGCCCATTTATAGCCTGGGCCTGATCATCTGTGAAAATTCCAAGTGTCCAGTTATCGTGGTACATGACATACAGCCTAGTGACAGACGAACGGTCCTCGGAGTCATTAGTGACACGGCCCCATTTTTTTATTGTCCGTACGGAACCATAATAATATACAGGAGTACTTATAATAATATATTTCTACTATTATAAGTGATTTTGAATCACATTTTATCAATGTGATTCAAAATCACTATAAACTGAACTTATATTTAAAGAACCTTTTTCTGAATTAAGTTTAGAGAAAAGTTCATCGAACACAATGTATCGATCTGATTGCTATCATGTTAAACAGCAATTAAATTTTATTAACATTGCATATGACATCATATCGATTCTTGTTTAATTCAACCTTTTGTAATCCTTTGCGAATATAGTCATAATTATTCAATCTTTTGTTAAGATGAAAAGATATTTCCTGCCTATATTGTGTGTAATTTTCAAAGTTTTATCAAAGGTTTGTTTAAAACTAAAAATAAAAAGATATGATATGTGGATTCAATTAACAATCATAAATAAAAAAAGACGGTGAGTACCGAAAATATTGGAAGAAATATGTTAAGAACTTGGAAACCAGGTTTTATTTAAACGTTTGAACCAGTATTTGAACTAAAGCTTATCTTAGTTTTAAACAATAATGAAGATTGACACATCCGTGTAGTTCACTATATTGTTAAGAGCTCTTGTTACGGAATTTGTGACAAAATGAACTCTTTCGTATATGGGATTCGAATGATATGTACTATAAACTGTGTCTAAAAGGTAAGCAAAAAGATATATGTGGGGGTTGAAAGAAAACGATATGTATCGTCACTCACAATCGGTTGTATCGTTTCCGTGTAATACTGCTTGTTGTTGCGTTGTAGGCTCAGTCTCCTATAGTGTCTCGACATCCTGTCAAATTTTTATTAGAAGAAATAGAGTTTATCTCATTTTAAGGGAGATAAATAAAGAGGGGAAGTTATAAAAGTTAATTATTATTGTTATTGTTTATTTGTTGCGATAATAGGGATTCATCAAATGTGCATGACTGGCAATAGTATAATCAAATTGTGTAAAAGGACTATTTTAGTGTCCGTGTTATGGATAAAAGAGTCATTACCATCACCAGCCCTTTTACGTCCCCACTGCAGGGGCTCAGGCCTTCCTTATGGAGGATAGGCCATGACACTTCACGCTGGCTCAATGCGGATTGGAGGGTATTAACGACTGCAAATGCAGCCGGGACCAACGGCTTAACGTGCCTTCAGAAGCACGAAGTAGCTCGAGATAATAATTTTTTTGGTCACCCATCCCGTGACCGACCCTTGCGAAAGTTACTTAACAACAACGATCGCTGGCCGCGGCGCTTAACCTCTACGCCACCGAGCTACTTACAGGATAATAGAGGACGCCTATACAATATAGAGTAAAATACTATTATTTTAGAGAACTATTGGCAACCCTACCTGTACAGTACGAGGGTCAAACTGAAAGTTCTTAGAACTGGCCACTTATAAACAATATAATTAAAAAATAATTCTAAAATTTGAAAATATAACTCTTTGCCAATATTACTGAGTATATATTTCATTCATTTGTCATTTGTTTTACGATTTGGCGGCAAATTGAAAATTGTCTGTGTCACGTCATCATGAATTTAACACGAGAAAATTTTCGTGCAATGATTTTTTATGACTTTCGATGTCATTTAAGTCAACAAGAAAGTTATGATAGACTACGATTGGCCTTTCACGATGAAGCCCCATCTCGTGCGACTGTTTACAACTGGTTTAATGAGTTTAAACGTGGTCGCACTAATCTCACTGATGATTTACGTGAGGGACGGCCTTCTACGGCGACGACTGAAGATAACATCTGTGTTGTGCGGCGTATGATAGAGACTGACAAAAGAGTGACCTATCAACAGATTCGGACAAGCTTAGGCATCGGTATGAGTCAAGTGCACAAAATCCTCCACGAACATTTAGCGGTCAGGAAGCTTTGCGCCCGGTGGATACCTCATAATTTGACTGAGGCTCAAAAACTCCATCGTGTGGATTGGTGTCGTAAAATGATTGAAAGATTTAACGGAGGTGACTCAAATGCTGTGTTCGACATACTAACAGGTGACGAAAGCTGGATTTACTGTTATGATCCTAAAACCAAAAGACAATCTGCTCAGTGGGTGTTTCCTTTCGAGGAGTTGCCAACTAAAGTGAAGAGAGATCGAAGTGCGGGAAAAAAAATGGTGGCCTCGTTCTTTGGAAGGATAGGTCATTTTGCAACAATTGTGTTAGAGGATCAAAAAACAGTTTCTGCAGAATGGTACACTACCAATTGTTTGCCACTTGTCTTGGAAAAAGTTCGAGAGAAACGACCTCGCAGTAGGATCCTCCTTCACCACGACAACGCCTCGTCGCACACCGCCAAGCGAACGATCGACTATTTGGCGACATCAAACGTTGAATTACTGGGTCACCCGCCGTATAGCCCCGACCTCGCGCCTTGTGATTTTTATTTATTTCCAAAAATTAAAGAAAAACTTAAAGGAAAGCGGTTTATGAATGCTGAAGAAGCGGTGGCTGCGTATCGCGATACCATTGAAGAGACCCCTAAGGACGAGTGGGCAAAGTGCCTTTCCCAGTGGTTCCATCGCATGCAGCGGTGTATTGACGTGAATGGACAATATTTTGAAAAGATATAATAAAACTAATAACTGGCTAATGTAATCAGTTTTTGCTTTTCTAAGAACTTTCAGTTTGACCCTCGTATAACATGAAACAGTGCTAAGCAGAAACGATATAGAGGACTATGGGTAATGATAAGTATCGTCCTCTTTCGACATTCACATAACATCTGTGTCAGCGTTCATTTCACAAAATTTTCTGAAGACATAATATAAATCAAGCGTCTCTAAAAACTATTTATTTTAAAAATTATGTTTATTATACATACAATTGGCAAAAAATAAAAGTAAATAACCTTAAAAAAATGCTGAATGATTTTAAATAATTCATTGATTGAATTGATACCTATATTCGATTATTTATTACCTATATGCGTGCGGAGTCCGCATCGCACCCACTCAAGTCAGTGGTCATGTCATTCAGTCCGCCTTTGGCAACGGCACGGCAGTCAGAAAACGCGCTCCGATGCGGGAGTACGCGTCACGCTCGCCCGGGAACAACGCGCGCACGCGAGTGTCAATAAAAAAAAAGTTGCGTTAATAAAACCTTATTTATCGAAAGTTTATAATTTGTGATTGTGAACATGAAGTTTTTAGTGGTGGTTATTGTCTCGGTGGTGTGTGCTGGTGCCGCGGCTGCTGCGGTAGCGTCTTCGTGTGCTCACGCCGAGGAGTTCTTCTTGAGGCATAATGCATCAGCTGATGATGGCAGAGAAACAGGTGTGGGCTGAGTAAACATACGCTTGATGGAAATAATGTGCTGTGGATAGGTTGATTGCGGTGTATAGGCCGTGTTTTGCGTTCGTTTAATGTTTCATATAAATGTTGTCGGACGATAAAACTCTATATTTAATTGAAATAGAGAAAATTTTAAATAAATTATTATTGATATGTAATATAAACTTAGTGATTTTCTTATAATACATTAATTTATTAAAAACAATAATAGTAATTTTGTACATAGATATTCTTTTAATGGCAATGGAATGGTCCTTAAAAGTTATGAGGTTTTGAATTTGCAGTATTTTTGAAGAAATTGTTTTCTCATTTTATCATACCTTTATACGAAACTGGATTCTAAGAGACAATATCACTAATAAAATATAATGTAGCAAAAATGGTCTTGATTAAAATAAACAAAAAGCTGTTCGTTCAAAGCGAGTTAAAGCTTTACGATTGGCGGGTAATTGTATGGATTGAAAACTAATTCATTCGACGAATTTGAGTTAAAAACATTTGATATATTCTAAAAGAAAGAAAAAAATAAATGTTTAGCCACAAAAATCGGGAAATACGGAAAAATTTAAACGTGTTTTTTGTTCCATAGAATTTGACAGGAAAATGACTGTTGGCTTAATAACCAAATAGGACGCATTATACCAATTTGCTCACAAGTACACTCAGCGAGAATGAAATAATGCTGTTGATCAAAGAATCAATTGAGTCCAGTGCACTTGCCCCCGTGTGTCGGCGGTGTCACGTTATCTGCTTGTGTCAGGTGTCGGGTGTCAGCACGCGCGGTCAGCTCGCGATGCCGGTGTCTATCTCATCTCACAGATGATTGAACAATAATAATAGGTATAGCTGTACCAATTATATTAGTAAGCATCAGCAGTAGCAGTCTTTCTCAACCTATTTTTTACTAAAGATTACAGATTGACATACTAGTAAAATAAAATGACAAGTAGAAAGTCCATGCTTCCTTTGGCCCGGCTTCGTTCTCAATCGTTAATTAATTAATCCTCACCTGCGGGTCAATCACTCTAACTAAACGAAATCGTACAGATGTCATTGACATTTATTGCTCTTAAAATTAAAGCTACCGCGTAAGATTTTGTGCCTAGAAATGAACTTCGACTAGTTCACAGAACAATTTAAATATAGACATCTAAAAATTAAAATTTATGTTAATGAAGTTACCTATACCTATAAACTTCAGGTAAATTGGTTCGTTCCTGGCCCGAGTAGTGAGCCTTTATAATCCCTTCCACTTTTGTTACATACAGAAAAGATACATTCATTTCGAGAATAAAATTTCACATATAATACGAGTATGAATAAAAACTGCATTCGAGTTGATGGTTATGAAAGTTAAATGAGAAATTGCATAGCACTGTGCGGTTGGCTAACGTCTCGTATGTCGGTGTAGAGTTACAGCTAGTTAGTTAACACAAAACTATTAGCACAACCGATAGCGGCGGCCAGTATTGTATTTACATGTCTGTATATCAACTTATGTATATAAACACAACACTTTTACTTGAATGAGTATGGGAGAATTGGTTGCATTTTCCTGCGACTTCACACCGTCAATTATAACCTATGTCCCTCCGAGCGCGATATTATTTCTGTAGTGAAATAATTTTGGTATCGGTCAATGAAAACAAACAAACAGTCAAACGTTTCCTCTTTATAATATTAGTATGATATAACACAATATAATTTGCGACACTTTTTCGAATAATGCCTTTAATGATTTATATAGCTTCGATTTTCATCAAATCATCAATGTTTTGCATTATATGATCCCCTAGTTTAGGAGAAATCAATTATGACATTGTAAGGATAGACACACGAGTGATCCAATAAGGGTTTTGTTTTTCTATTAAACGTAAGGAACCCTAAAAGATAGTGGCAGAAAAATAGTATAAATATTCTAAGAAAATATTTTTAAAACAATAAAATATCATTTGTTTGGCTATTTTTGAATTGTTTTAATGCTTCATTGATTGTGATCTTACACCACTTATATACATTCGTACTCTATGTGACGAACAACATAAAATTTGTAAACAACTTTTACGAGTTATGCGGAATCTTTTTTGTTTTTATCAGACCTTTGAGTTGTTAACACCATTTAAATCGTGTTCCATTACAAATTCATACAAATGCTTAATGGAAATTAGGGATGCATACAAATCAGGACTTGCCGTACGTTTTATTAGCAAAACGTGCTGATGGCTTTAATAGATATTGGATAGGAATAGAATTTAATTACGTTCCTGCTTATTTTCCTGAAATAGGAGCTTCGAGCATTATGTAATTGAAATCATAAATTTCTGCAGATGCACACAGCAACACAAGAGGTTATGACGTAATATCAAATCTTGGCATTCAATTTTCAACTTTACTAAGGAAACACAAGCAGTGCTAGCGGAAGACCTTTTAACGTAAGGTACATTTTGCGATGTCTTTTAATAGTGTAACATTCTACGAATAAAATGTTAGTTTCCTAGACATTAGTTTTTTACGCCTATTTCTCAATTGTTGTATCTTTCTCGGGTCTGGTTGTTGTGATACCTTCGTCGTTTCAGATATTCCATAATACGGTAGTTTTAGTTACTCATCTTGGGATCTGAGCAATGTAAATGATGTAGTTTAATATTGATTTATTTAATATATAAATAAATAATTATGGCTTGTACATGAGAATAAGTGAAAAAGTCTATTGTAGAGTTACTTTTGCATAATCTGATCCTTTATTGTATAATCGTATTGTTTTGATTAAAGTCTTATTTTTAAAAATAAATTTTACATTGGTGCTGTTTCAATTTTCGGATGAAGTGTATATATGTTTAGGTTTAAGTTTCTATTGCAGATGTTTATTGAACCTAACCCATAAGATACGAGTTAAAAAGGAACGATTGTGCAATTTCTTAATACAGATATGAGTTTCACGAAAATGATTATTGGTATTATCTGAGTTCTATACGTATGATATAATCGGTACATATATGTATATTCAATTCTAGCTCTTTCACAGCGACTTCGTCCGCGTAAAATAAAACGCTTATGAAGCTTTCCGTTGGCGAAAACATTTTCATTATCTGATCAGTACTTCCGAAGATTACTCCCAACAACCAAACAAACTAAATTAGACACATTTCCTTTTTATAATATTTTCATAGATTGAAACAGCTCTGTTGCAATTGTGATAGTTTCACTGCATTACATAATTTATCTTACTAAATAATTACACTACTAATATGACTATTAAAACCTAAATTTTTATGGCTATCGATTAATTCATTTTTTCATTAATTATTATCTTAGACCAGAGATCTTGTATAGATAAATAAAACGAGCTCAAACTCGACAGCGTTGAGTTAATTCATAACAAATTTCCTATCCTATATTAAGTTACTAAAATTTAGCTTGCACACTAATAAAGGAGCTAACATAACAACTTAAAGATTGTAAAAATTTTCGAGACCACCAAAGGATCACCAGATTTATCATTAACTATTTTGAAAAAGGTCCTAATATTTATTGTAGTACAGTCTCGTTGTCATTTCAATTTTTTTTTTTTAATTGCTGTTCGTCATGAATCATATTTGAATTAAGAATAAAATTGGCTGTTATGTTACGCTATTTGTTGTTACGAATGCATAAATATTTAAAACTCTTTTGTGTCATTAATCTACTTTAAAATCAAAAAGGTATCATATGTTCGATGCCAATGTATGTTGTTTTTATATTTCTTTTACATTAAAATCAACTAGCGTGTACATATTTTTACATCTGTCTGTACGTAAATCGCGCATGATATCGTCAATAAAATAAAATATTCTGATTGGCTATATATACGATTCGACGAAACAAAAAGTTTATGACTCGATATTGTAATGCTGTTGGGTCACGATGTTGTTACTTATAAAAATTAATATGGCTGTGTCAAGGTCAAGTTCATTTGATTGTTTTATACATAAATTAATTGAGCTTACTAAGCATTCCATTCAATTTGTTTTATAACAACCTATTCGAATGTAAAGCTGTAAAATTCAATTCTATTCTAAGTATAAAAATAATTATTTGAAAATACCATTTTCGGAATTAAGGTTATTCAAAAAAATCTGTCTAAACGGTGTTCTATTAAAAAAATTGAAATGTTATACAATATACTTTGCGTAACGTTCTTTTTTTATTTTCAAATAAAATATAATTGCCAAAATGATATGTGTAAATGTCTATTAAATCTCAACTTAATCCGCCCAGTAAGTTGAGATAAAATCAGCTGTGACACATAAAAAGACGGAAAACCAATACAGTGATCTTATAAATTCTGTTTTTTAGATTTTTAGAGCTTTTTGTTATTAAAATTATTAGTTTTAGCCCCAAGTCAAACAAATTTATCGTTTAATAATTCAGTCTGAAAAGTTTGGATATAGTTTCTTTACAAATTCACTCCAACTAACGACTATGTCCATATTGAACAAAGTCTAAGCGGTATGTAAATACGTCATCGATTTGTTGCCATTCGTATAAATTTATGATGAAGATTTACGCTTTTTGTAAGTTTGAAAACGACAGCTGGAAAATCGAAGTGGTTTATTATTTATCGTCATAGTTTGGATGCCACTACGTATACCCTATAGTCAGCTGTTTATATCTAATGAGAACCGTACTATGTTTGTGCGAATGAAATAACTACATTTATATTAATTGTACCTACAACGCATACCATTACACGTCAAATCATCTCTACATACATTATTACATATGAGTCCCCGCAGAAACGTTTCCGATTAGAACGAAAACGGTAGTCAAATGTAATTTATTTGGCAAAAAAAAATCAAACGAGCAAATTTCGCTTTCATGTTCCCGATAATGGGGACATGCGACGATTTTTGAATATCGAACGTTCGTATCGGTTCCGAGACGCGGCGTCGTAAAAGCTACTCGGTGGAAAGTCACGAAAAATTACGTGTCTGAGACAGGAG